CAAGGCTAGCGCTCTACCACTTGAGCCACAGCACCACTTCAGCTTTTTTTTTCTTTTTGCTTATGTGGTGCTGAGGAATCGAACCCAGGGCCTCATGTATGCAAGGCAAGCACTCTACCACTGAGCCACTTTCCCAGCCCCCTAAGTTGGTATTTTTGATGCGTTTTTTGTTTTGGACAAAGTCTTGCTATATAAAGTTGTATAACTTATCCTATTAGGAAGCTGAGGCAGGAAGACGGTAACAACTGTGCTGTAATATGCCAGAATGACATTTCATGTCTTTACAATCTAGACTCTTCTTAATTTCCCAACCCTTTTCTTGTTGGAAATGTCTCCGAATGTTGGGGTGTCATATGAAAATAAGCACACAACTCAACAGTGATGGCAACAGTTTACTTCTACAGAGGGTACGCTACTAACAGGAGTCCAAATAAACAAGTGAGCAGGGCAGACAATCCACCTAGGTCTTTTTTCCTAACGAATGACTGCTTTTCATCTTTGGTCAGAACTTTGGGCTATATTCTTGCATGACTGGCTTAAGTTTATCCAAGCAATCAACCAAAGCCAGGATACCTGGCCAAAACTTGTCAGGCAAAACAATTGTTACACAGCTGGCACTCTACCACTTAAGCCATGCCTCCAGCTCCTAGATAAACAATTCTTATAACAAGATATGGCTTAACTAAAGCAGCTTCTTGTAAAATAGTAGCGATCTGTTTCTGTAAAGCAACTACTAACAGAAAAAGATTCTAACTCTAACACTCACTGAGGAGTTTCAGATTACATAAATAACCCATTATATTATCCTGGGCTAGTAATGACATCTTGTGGTCAGTAAAGAAACTGTTTTTCCCCAAAGAATAACACCATGTTACTCAAACTTCAAGTACCCTTGTAAGGGCTGGAGGGCATGGCTTAAGTGTTAGAAAGTTTTCCTAGCAGGCTCAAGATCCTGTACCACAATCTATGCCACAAAAATAAAATCCCCCCCAAATAAAATTTCCAATGCACAATAATTATATAATAAAAATGTGCACATAAATATGCAGGGTGGAAGATAGGTGTCCATAAAAATACATAATCTGAATCAGTAGATGGGGATAGCACCAAAGTCTGGAGGTCTCACTAATTCCCAAGTGATCACACCTGGAGTAGCAAGTCTTCACTATATTTACTCTGATTTTTGGAGGAGCACCTGTCTGAAGTCTGTTTCTTTCTGCCTTTTTACCAGTTATGACTTTTTCTCTACTTTGATTTTCTTTAACCCTTCTCCTCCTTGACATCTCTAGCATTTTTGTTCATTTAGCTTAGGGGGGAAAAAGATAAACTGTTTTGTGTCAAGTTTGTCCTGATTAGACAATAGAAATGGTTTCCAAATTTGAGAAGATACAAAGTTCTTCCCTTTACTCTCTCAAACCAAGAATGTCTGGACAATGGATTTCCGGAGGACCTTGACAACTTCTCCGATTCTCAACATTCTTTCGCTTTAAAAGAGAATTTTATCATAGCAGGCTGTCAGAGTCTCCTATCAACTACATAGTCTACACAATGGCAGAATTCAAAGTACTTGATATCAACTTGCTTTTTTACGTTTTTTTTTTTAAAATCTGTCTAGGTGCTCTTTTCTCCTCCATGTCAGGACTGAATTCAGGGCTTTGCCCATGCTTAGCAAGCACTCAACCACTGAGCTACATTCCCAGTCCCTTGCGTTATTAACGTAAACGAAAAGTCAGTGTCATTTAATGTGGCTCGTTGAGCCTTCCCCTGCACCCCCCACCCCCCCAAAAAAGACAAGAAACAAAGCCGAAAAAAATCCCAATTAGATGCCGCTTCGTGGGCCAGGCCAGATTATCCAGCCAAGAAAGAGACATCTTTTTCCTAGACAGTCATCAACAAAAGAAAGCCTTTGGGAAAAGGACCGCAGTCCCCGACGTGAATCCCGAATTCAAGAATAAACCGGTTATGACACTGGAAGATGCTTGTAGCGGTGCCCTAAATGCGGCGCTCGACTGTACAGTATCAGTATTGGTTCAAGTCTACAATGTGGCCCGTCCCAGGCTACAGTTTCAGCTCCGGTCTGAGGCGAGTTGGAACCGGGAGCAATCAGGACATTCACCCGCCTCGCCCGCCCACAGACACTATCTCCAGTGGGCCTGGGGCGAAGACGGGAGCCACATACCGGATTCGGGACGTGTTTTCCAAGGGTGCCGGCAGCTTCGCGCAGGTCCGCTGCAGCTCTGCGATCTCCGCCTCCAAGGCGCGAACCTCAGCCCACCCAGCTTCCATCGCACTCCTCAGACCCGCGCGCGCTGCCGCGAGTGACAACCCCAGCCCGGGGCTTCAAGTCGCGCGCGCTCCTGGCGCTAACCATTCCCGAAAGTCAAGGGGGGAAGGCGACCAAGCGACGCGCGTTCACTCCTGCACCCAAACAATATTACAGCTCTTTGATGCCCACCCTACGTGGTGAGAGTTACCTCTTAATAGTCCTGACCCTTTTGAAAATTGGTTCGTTCCGATTCAAAGCCCAAACTTTCAGCTGCCCCCCCCGCCCGTGACTTTTGGAACTACCCAAACTCCTCCTACGTCACTGCAGAGGCGGCTCCGGAACACCTGAAGACAGGAGTCTCTTTGTTTTTCTTCCTCCCGGTCACTTCCGCCTTTGTTTTTCTTCCTCCCGGTCACTTCCGCCTACCCAGTCCAGAAGTCAACGAACACGCGGCGCTCAGTCTCTTCACTGGAAAGTAGACAAGTTTGCCTTAGGCTCTTTTTCAGGCTCTGAAGCGAATTTATTGGAGAAGACGAGGGTAGTCTGGACCACGAGAAAGGAAATAAAAGGCCTCTCCGGAACTGAGTGTGGAAACGGAACCCTTGGAGGCTGGGTTGGAAGTCGTGTAGGAAGGAAGCGCAAGCACTCAGGCTTAGCCTCTGCGCCTGGCGGACCTCACGGTGAGGCGTGGGTTTCGGGGAGGGCAAGGTTGGGACTGTAGGACGTCGCCTCTCTCTTCTCTCTGGATCTTCTCAGAGCAAGAAAGATGGGGTGGGCAGGGTGCCATGTGACGTGCTGTTTTGTGATCTCCCTTTGGAGCAGTCTGTCTGCTGTTGGGTAAGGGATGAGTGGGAACTGAGTGCCTGCAGTACTAAACGAGAGAGGTAGCATGGTTGTACAACTAAAATGCTTCTGGAAAACACTTCCATCATACATACATATACATGTATTTAGTGTGTACTACATAACATATAGTATTAACCGTTCTGTGTTCTGAATTTAGAACTGGATTGTGATCCTGATTTCACCTCCAATTTTGTTTATGGCATTGAGGGCCCCAGGACCTGCCAGGAAAAAGAAAAAACAAAACACCTTCTGCCAGGCACTTGTGGCTCACCTATGTAATCCTAGCTACTCAGGAGGCTGAGCTCTGAGGATTGCAGTTCAAAGCTAGCCCGGACAGTAAAATCCATGAGACTCCAGAAAACTTCAAAGTGGCACTGTGGCTCAAAATGGTAGAGCCTTAGCCTTGAACAAAAAGAGCTCAGGAACAGCACCCAGGCCCTGAGTCCAAGCCCCATGACCAACAAAAAAGAGAACAAGGAAAAATATCTAATAATGTGAATAAGACAATAAAAAGTATTAGCATATCCTAATTGTGGTCATTAAGTAAATAATCACCTTCTATACCTGTGTATGTGTAAATGTGGTACCAAAATGTATTTACAGAGAATGCAAATGTAGAGCTTGAGAACAATCTCCAGGGATAAGTTTGGAAGCAATACAATAGGAAGTGAAATACAGTTTTAGATGAACAACCTGGCACAGAAAGTTCAAGGGACGTAACTGTGTTTCATATGTAATTATGAAAAAGAATTCCTTTATACACAGAACATTTCTGTTTCCACTAGAACATACTGGCCTCATGAAAGCCAACAGAGAAACAAAGCGCCTTCATGTGGGTGGTCTTAGCCAGGCCATTACTGAGACAGACCTACAGAATCAATTTAGCAGATTTGGAGAAGTTTCTGATGTGGAAATCATCGCACGGAAAGATGAACAAGGTAAGTTTCTGTTTCACTGAGTGGTTAAAGGAAGAGCAATTACTACAAAATAAAGCAACTTCAGAGGTGAATATAAGCTCTAAATGCTGTGATAGGAAATATTACATATATTGTGGAACTTAACTACAATTAGCTTCCAAAATCAGAAACATTCTATGACTTGATTTGTTATCTCCTAACTTTTCAGAGTTAAAATTCTAGCATTAAAAGTGTCCTGTTAAGTAGAATATCACTAACATATTATCGAGATATTTTCTTTAACTGACTTTTGGTTTTTGGTTGTTTTTTTTTTTTTTGCTTACCCAGTTTCTTTCAATAGTTTCATATACTTTGAAAAATGCTGTTTGTATCCATTGAAAAATAAATTTTTCTTATTGAATAGATTTCCAGCAGTTCATCAACTTACGTTGTTCCCTGGATATGTTTAAATAAATTTGTTTTTACTTTTTAGGAAACTCACAGAAAGTCTTTGCATATGTTAACATCAGCATAACAGAAGCAGAGCTGAAAAAATGTAAGATTATCATATATTTTTATACTCTTTGTCAGTTGGTATCATTGTGAGACTTGGAATAACTTTAGTTCTAAAACTCAGCTTCAACAGCAATAAAACATATAGATGGACAACCATGAATAAGAGAATGTTGATAACTTACATCTCAGAATATTTCAGTTAATTTCATTAGTGTCAGAACATCTATGGCACCACATGTTGGTGGGTTTACTCAAAAACTGCTCTATTTTCAACCAGGCTCATATCTAAAATCCTAGCTATTCAGGATGCTGAATCTGGAAGATTGTGGTTTGAAGCCAAGTCATCAGAAAAATCTGTAAGACTCCATTTCCAAAATAACCAGAAAAGGTCAAGGTAGATGTGTGGCTCAAATGGTAGAGAGCCATCTGAACAAGCAGAAAAGAATTGCATATTCTCACATCATTTGGACAAAAGACCAAACTTACATAGAAACTACTGGTACACATATCCCACTGGATATGATGCTACATCTTCAATCTTCACTTTTCTTGAGCAGCTAATCCTTATCAAATGTTGTAGGACAGATGTTAGAATATGCTTTTATGAGGCCATATCTTTGAAACTGTGATATCTTTTGTTATGAATTTTGTAAAGCTCAAAGTCAGTGATATCTTTCAGCGAAGAGTAGTGGCTGCTACAGTAATGGATTCTATTACTTGGAGATCAGAAAGTCAAGACACTAAAAAAGAAAAGGAACCTGTTATTAGAAAGCCATCATGGGCTGGGAAGTTGGCTCAGTGGTAGAGTGCTTGCCTTGCATGCCTGAGGCCCTGGGTTCGATTCCTCAGCATCACATAAGCAAAACGAAAAAAGCCGGAAGGGCTGGGAAGATGGCTCAGTGGTAGAGCGCTTGCCTTGCATGCCTGAGGCCCTGGGTTCGATTCCTCAACACCAGATAGGCAGGAAAAAAAGCCGGAAGTGGCGCTGTGGCTCAAGTGGTAGAGTGCTAGCCTTGAGCTGAAGAGCTGAGGTACAGCGCCCAGGCCTAGAGTTCAGACCCCACGACCGGATCCAAAAAACAAAACAAAAAACAAATCTACTTTCTTGGTGCTAAATAATTAGAAGAAAGCATGTGCTAGTATATATACGTGTGTGTGTGTGTGTGTGTGTGTGTGTGTGTGTGTGTGTGTGTGTGTGTGTGTGTATATATATATTTTTTTTTGTCAGTCATGGGCCTTGATCTCTGGGCCTGGGTGCTGTCCCTCAGCTCAAAGCTAGTCCTCTACCACTTGAGTCACAGCGCCACTTCTGGTTTTCTGGTGGTTTATTGGAGATAAGAGAGTCACACAGTTTCCTGCCCAGGATGGCTTTCAACCACTATCCTCAGTAGCTAGGATTACAGGCGTGAGCCACTGATGCCCAGCTTTAAAATATATTTTTGCATACTATTTACTTTAGTAATGATTTTACCTTATAGGTATGTCTGTTTTAAATAAAACAAAATGGAAAGGTGGAACACTTCAAATTCAGCTAGCAAAAGAAAGCTTTTTGCACAGGTAAGAATTGTCCCATGTGGATTTAAGTCCTATTTATATTACAATCCATTTTATATATTCTCTTTATTTGAAAAATTGAATAACACATTTTATGGTATTAGCAAATTCACACATTGCAATTAGAGCTGATACCACTCTCATTTCTGACTCACCCTAGACCTCACAGATAAAGAATTTATTGCATTTATGTGTATACATATTAAGCTATAAAAATATATAAATATATTGTCTTCACCCAGACCTTCTGTGGTAATGTATCCTTCCCATTCTTTTTAATTTCAAAAAAATGGATATTTAGACTTTTTCTATCTTTTCATGATTGTAGATGATCTTTATACATACCTCTTATATATGTACATGTGTTTCTGTGGGGTTTATGGCAAAAAGTGGAGTTGTTGAATCTTTGAGTTATGTCCATTTAAAGTTTAATAGATGCTACTGAATTGTTTTTATTGATTTTTGAATGATAATACTATTGTCATTCAAACATATAAAGACATCAGATATCCATATGAAAAGCATAAGAGTAATGTACATGATTTTAGAAAAAATAGTTTAACAATAGATTATTACACTAATTTTATTTATGTAACTATTTGTCCATACTGAGAGATAAACTCAGGACTTGCACATGCTAAGCAAATGCTCTACCACTGAGCCATGCTCCCAGTCATTTTGCTTTTAAATTTGTGCTTAAGATAGGGATTTGTGGGCTGGGAAGATGGCTCAGTGGTAGAGTGCTTGCTTTGCATGCATGAGGCCCTGGGTTCGATTCCTCAGCACCACATATGCAGAAAAAGCTGCAAATGGCGCTGTGGCTCAAGTGGTAGAGCGCTAGCCTTGAGCTGAAGAGCTGAGGGACAGCACCCAGGCCCAGAGTTCAGGCCCCACAGCCAGCAAAAAAAAAAAAAAGATAGGGATTTGTAAGCCAGAAGATGGTGGCTCATACCCCTAATCCTAGCTACTCAGGAAGCTGAAATCTGAAGATAGCCTTTTGAGGCCAGCCTGGGCAGGAAAGTTCATGAGACTCCTATCTCCAATGATATTTCCCCTAAAAAGCTGGAAGTGGAGTTGTGACTTAAATGGTAGAGCACTAACCTTGAATAAAATAAGGTCAGAAACAATATCCAGATCCTGAGTTCAAACCTTGGGACCAGCATAAAAAAAAAAATACTTTTGCCCATGCTGATGTCAGATGGAGATCATCATACCTCTGCCAACCAAGTATCTAGATTATAAGTGTGTACCAATCTAGCTTG